ATCTCGGCCTGTGATTCCATCTCTCTGAACTGCTAGGTTAGCAAACTGCTCATGAGTTTATCAGGAAATCAGTAATGTCTAGTATACCCTCCCAGCTTGTTTTGCAGCACGCCATTCTACAAATGAGCCTCACATTACGGAAAGAAAACCCAAACCAACGAGCTAAGTCATGGTAACATTATTTGGCCCTCTTGTCCTCAAAGCCTCTTTGTCTTTTCCATGTCAGCAAGCCCCAAATGGATCAGTATTAGGTCACAGACTAATTTGAGAAGATTTTGTTCTCCTATCTAGACACATTTTTGGATTTGATACGATCTGTTGTGTCAGTGGACGAGACATCACGAGAATGAAACTATGATCTGTATTGACTGTCAAAAGTTATTATTTTAAAACTTTAAGGTCCACTTTGGAACCTTTCACTAGGATCACCATGATCTTTGTCACTTGTTATCAAGCGAAAATTCACTACTTGCATCACCAGACGAACACAGAGCCACTTCTGTGACATCTTGTATACGATCATCTGACAGTGTTGCTCAGAAAGACAGCACAGCTTCGGTCATGTTCTTATTACTTAAAGTTGTCATTTTACACTTTTTTGGCAAATTCTGTTAATTTTTTGCTCATGTCTGATAGCTGTACATTCTAACCTCTAAATAGAGCCTATGTTAGTGTAAAGCCCTTTCTCTGTGAATCAAAGGAAGTGGCTTGGATCCACACAACACTATTCCAATGTGTTCTGCGCACATTCATGATGGTGCAAAAACAAGGGGTGGAGGACATGGGTAACTGGAGCAGTGGAAGTGAAAGGGGCAGTAAACCTGGAACATGTTAACTATGTCAATACTCTGAATATCTTTCTGCAATATTTAGTGCAAAAGGAACCTAAAAGTGTTGTTGAAATCAGCTCAAACCAGCTTCCAAAGCGGTACTAAAATTGTTTACTGTTCAACTGTATCCTGTTGTGAAATTGTTGTTTCTTTAGCTGAAACCCTCTTCAGATAAAAACACTTCCTCTGCAACTTCCTTTTCATTTTGCAGCAGCTACACCTGACAGTGTAAAGCTGCATGTATCTGAGCACATCTAACAGCAGGACTCCAGACTAACTTCTTCCACTCATTGCGCCGGTGTGTCTAACGTTTTTATTTACATGCGTTGGCATATTTTCTCTGCGACTTTTGCCACTGAACAGTGCATTTTAAAGCATTAGTGTTTTAGTTCCTGTGGTTACATCATGTGCAACCTCTTAACACATTATGTAAATGATCTGAAACAGGAATAAGGTTTTGTTTTCTTCTCTGACTACATTATAAGAGTAAAATCTGACGCCTTACTGCTTCGACAGCCACACAACTGTCACGGCGCCGTCAGTTTCTTGGAGGCATTGTGCTTTTTAACGTTTCAATTCAAAACGATGATGCTCCGACAGCAAAGGCTTTGTTCCCAGCCCGGCTTTGGCTCCACTTTTTGTAATAAATGCAGCGCACAATGTTGGCTGTTTTATCATATCTTTGTGTTACCCACAGGTTGAGAGTTTACTTGTGGTGGTGGGTGGCACAGCATGAACGATGTAAATGCAGGGGAGAGGGTAACCCAGGTTGTCATCTATTGCTACAATTTACAGATGTCCCTGCTTCATGTGCAGACTACTGGCAGACGCTAAGACCTTCCATAAACCCTTTCAGACAGACGTCAATTTGTTTCTGCGACTACCTCCACAGCTAGCTTATAGGTGCCACAGCAATGCCCCACCGCTCCATCTGTGCACCTCATACACAGAACCGTGAGGCGGAATAAAGGTGCAACGATGTCGTCATGGACAGGATGTCTGAAAGGGCTGCAGTCTTTATTTAAGGGACGAGTTGTTGCTCAGAACTGAATGCTCTTTAAATCTCAATCACTATGTTGAACATACTGGCGCAAAGTTTATAAGGGTTCTAGCTGTTTTTACTAGCTACTAACATTACGTGTTGGTGAGCACTCAACTGACTACACACCCTCTGCACAAACGCAAAATCTTTATTGTCTTTTTAAAACTCAAAACAGTACTACTAAAAAAAAAACCTTTTTAGGCAAGAGCCCAGAGTTTAATTCTGTAGTTTGATTATCTCACAAAATAAATGCTGCTACATTTTATAAATGGGGGGTAACTGGGACATTTTATACTTTAAAGAAGTTGCTGTTTCAAACCAAGCACATGTCGCTTTTCCAAAACCCTGCTCCAAGTTTAGAAAAGTAAATAAACCAACCCTTTCACAGTGTTTGAGGTTAACCTCTGTGCCTTATTGGACCACATTAGTAACTGGGAATAAGCATTACTCATTAGCTCTGACCACAGAAGCCACTGGGAATTAATAAGGCCACTCTGCACTGTTGTGATTTGACCGCCTGTAATTTGCACCATATGTATCATTAATCTGTATTAACCCATGACAACACAAGTACAGACTGCGCAGATGACTTTCACTCTCGATCATAACTTATTTCCAAACAACAGAGCAGATACCTACAAAGCTTTAGAAGACTGATTCACTCGCATCAGAGCATCCAGTAAAAATTATAATGTAGAGCGCTACCAAACTTCAGCCAGACCACAGCAAAGTATAAGTGAAATTCCAGACTAAGACATGTAAGCAATATGCAAATAGCCATTTAATCACAGCACGGAGAGGTCATGTAACTTTCCTTGCTGATCAGAAGTGCAGCTTGATGCTTTAACTTAGTGCGATGAACCATCTGATATCAATTATCAGATCAGACAAATCCTTCACAGCCGACCTCTCTTGACAATCAACAGTTTCGAAAACACTGCACAGGCTGCCGTCAGCCCACGCCGAAGCCGACATGTGACACAGAGGAAAGCAAATCTGTCCGAGGCAGCCTGCAAAAACAAGGGAGGAGATGAGATCCAAGTCAAATTCACCATCTGCTCCGCTGTCTGTTTGCCTGCTGCCTAACTGAGGCTTCCACTACACAAACACTGGAGACTAACAATGACAAACATACTGTGCTTCACGTGTACCGCCAGCCAAATATTGATTTAACGTCTGTTCTGCTCGGCGCATTATGCTGAGGTGGGAAACTGGCAGCTCACTACATTGCTTAACTATGCCGTAATAAATGCATGCAGGTGCGCGGCAGGAAATACAGAAGCTACTTCCAGTTCCTAATTACATGTGTGCCTAATGGAGTGAGGTGCAGCGTCAGGAGGAGAAGCTGCTCGCGGTAAGAAGTGGATGATGCTGATGATGATGAAACTGGTGTATTGGAATGTTTAATGTGAGGAATGGGTCTGGTAATGGTTCTGATGTGTAATAAATACACAGCTAGAGTCAGAATGCCGCTAGCTTTGCTTAGCATAGACTAGAAGCAGGGGGAAGCAGTGTGTCGACTCTGTTCAAACTGAAAAAGTACACCAGCCATCACCTTTAAGCCTGCTACATAGCCAGACCTGACAGAGGAGGACGTGGTGGTGAAAAACAGTGTTTGACTGCATGTGGCCTTATCACATATTGTCATCACAGAGAGCCCAAGCAGTGAAAATGTTTTACCAATCAAGCTCAAGATCTGCAAGCAAACCACTTGTACGTCCCATTTACACCTGGTATTAACAAGCAATCTGTACACACACGACTTTCATCTGACCATAGTATCCTTATCTGCCATGGGACACAACAGGTTTGCTCACAAGTCAGCCTCGGCCTTACTGATAATAAACCCTCTGAAAGTCTCTGCTGACAAGTTTGAAAGACAGGCTGTCTTTAAAAAAAAAAAAGCAAAAACACAGTATTTGTCAGAGCCAGAAACAGTAAAAAATTACTTTCTAGCAGTCCTTCAAACAATCATGCCGCTACATCAGGGAAATTAACTAAATCTAAGCTTAAAATTGTGATATTTCATCAAAATTGGTAACAGCTGTGGATACTTGGAAAAATGGTACACATGTTGAGTCCATGTTTTTTTCTTTTTTTGTGTAAAAAAAATATTAAATTAAATTCAACTTTAGTTTTTTTTCTTTTTTTTAAATGATTCACATGTTCTACTGTGCAAATTATGTTTTTGAGATCTCTCTATTTAAGCTATGGCTACGCTGTTTTCATAGAGGTGCAGGACTTTACATTGCAGTGAAAAATAATCCCAACATGAATAAATAAAAACGTGATCGGAGCAAACAACTGCTCATGGCTCAGTAGGTTAACTAATATGCAGACTGACATTAGATCAAGACATCGTTATCCAGATAGAACATTAAGCTACAGATCGCATCAGGTAAATAAGGTCATGTGCAAAAATCTAACTGGTTGCTGAAGGCCACAAAAACCCATCTAGTAGAGACAACAAATATAGAAATGGGTGTCGTACGTGTGAATAATAACATAAAGGCTTTAAAATTTCAACACTAACCAGTGTAAAGGAGAAATTACATAACACAAAAGCTCATTTTGTACGAAGATAGGTTAACCACATCCTGACACACAAACAGTGGCGCTGATCTTAACATCTTAATCTCAGTAAGAAAGACAACAAGCATCTCCTCTTCCCCAAGAGTTGAGCTACCCCTTAACATCTAGCTTAACACCTTTATGACTTTCACTGGACAACACTTTGCGCTGGGTGTTCAACGTACTATTTAATCAGATTAATCTTAGTCTGGAATATGTGTTACTGTTAAGACATAGAAATGTAAACACAAATGTCCATCACACCATAATCCCAAAACGAAGCTGTAAAATTGCATGTGCCATCTGATCAGCAGTCCAAAAACCCAATTATATGACATTAACAATGATGCATAGCTGAGAAAAATGAACGTTTTGCTACATTAAGCTTCAAAACTGCCACAGGTTGTCCCCCGACTAACCAATTAATCAAGTAATCATTCCAGAGAATCAACCTGTAATAAAGGCCATTATCATTACTGAGTCACACACATATGCATACGCCCGACGACAGTCCCAAAGAGAAGAAAACTCCCCTCCCCAGCGTTTCTTTCTCTTACCCGTGTGGTGGTGGCAAACATGTACTTGTCTCGGAGCTGGAAGCTGTCCACCTGCTCCAGGATCACTCTGCGGTTCTGTTCGCTCTGGAAGAAGTCTGTGCTGCTGAGGATGGTGGAGACACCCTGGGGCTCGTGTCTCTGGACCAGCACCGTGGTGGGAGGGTCGTAGGGCTCCACACCCCTGAAGATGTCAGAGGAAAGAGCGGGAGGGTTGGAATGGGGTTTACAGAGGTTGAGAAAACAAGGGCAGGGGAGGGAGGAAGGATGAAGATGGGATAACATTAGAGCCATCTGCTCGGTTCTTCCAGAAAATATATTCAATCAATCATTCAATGTACACCAACATACGTATATTTTTAGTTTGCTTGCTTATTTATTTTGAAATCCTGGGGAAATCAGTGGTTATTTAATGTATGAGCACCAGACAGACTACGAGACATACACATTTCAATACCTTCTCCACCACTCATCCAATGTTCATACTTTTCAGCATCAAAGAAGAATCGTGTCCGAGTTCTTATTTCACCAGGATGTTTGCCATAAATATATCATCTATGACATATATATCTTTTTTTTTTTAAATCCACAGGTTTCATAGAATAGTTGCAGGTTATTCAAAAAACGTATTTATGCCATTTACTTTTGCCTTACATCGTTTAGTTTATGAAATATTTTGAAATTGTCAGATGAAACACCTTGAAGTGACTACAAAACCAAATCCTTAATAAAGCACTTTCAAATAAACGATATATAAAAAAGAAAAGCTGAAATCGTCACATTTAAGAGTTTAGGATGAGAGAATATTTCACTTATTTTGCTTGAATACTTTCTTTAATGATTGATGAATCACTAAAATAGTTGCCAGTTATTGTTGTGTTGCTCTGTGGAGTTGTTTATTCTACAGCAGAGGAGGTTCAATAAAAGCAGATGGTGCAACACAACCAAAAAACAGCAACAGCTTCCTTTTTTTAGCTAAAGTTAAATTCGTCCTCAGAAACTTTCTGGTTTTAATCTGCCCACTTTGCTTTTCGTCAGATTCTGTGACTGTCCTCTCATGGTCTCCTATCTGGGAAACAAAGAAACAGTCATCTGGCAATAAGGCTGAATGTGGCTCAACTATTGCTGCAATGGAGCGCTGTCATCAGGAAACACACTGTACTGGTCAACAAATACGCAGAAGTGCACATTGCTGGTAGATTTATTGAAACATGTTAGCTGTTTAGCTAACCTGCACGTACAAGCCATCATTGCAAACTTGTCTTAGCGGTTGCTATGGGTCAAAACAATCCCACGATGGATCCTACGAAGGTGTTCTGCTCCTTTGACCAATTCTGTGCCAAAGCAGTTCGACCTCCTGACAGAGTGATAAACTGTCCAGCCCTGCTGCTGCTGTCTCCCAGTAGCAGGACTAAAACAGCCCAGCTGTCTGGCCTCAAAGCTGCAGTTTAAGAAAAAAAAAACATTTCATGCCTACTGATGTTTCCCAAGGGCCACAAGGTGGCTCAATGGTTGGTACTGTCACCTCACAGCAGGAAAGTTTGCAGTCTGAATTACATCCTTCTGTGAGGAGTTTCCACGTCCCTACTGTGGGTTTCCTCGACGTGCTCTGGTTTCTAGAGAACTTCACTAATCAAAAAATACGTCTGAAAAACTGAATTCTGCCTCAGAAGGTTGCAACACACCACCTAAAATAACTGAATTATTCTGGCTTTCACAGAGCTGTTCTCTGACAAGGAATCCTTCCCATTATTTCATATGAAACAGGCAGATTTTTAATATATTAAATGTCACTAACAGCATGTTTAAACCAAAATATCTGTGTGTCAACCTTTAAAAACCAGCGTGGTCAAGCTATTTGTGGCTGCAACTTTACAGCAAGTGTTTTTCAGAAGCCGTGGCACGGAGAGCCGGCCAGAATGAATGAAGGAGGTTCACTGCATCTTATCGTCCGCCTTCCAAATCAGTGTGTTTTCTTCCAGAGTCTCGAGAGCCGAACAGAGAAAGCAGTGTCTCCTCTGGGCTCTGCCTCTGTGGCATTCTTTCAAAGGTCCCTGTTCAACTGATGGACGCTGTCTGGGCTGAGAGTGCATGGAGAGCTATTCGTAGTCCGTCTCTGTTCCTTCCTTTGAATTAATCTCTGCCCCTTCTAAACACTTCCTAAACACCCTTCCTCCCCTGTTGTGGCAGTTTCTCATTTTTCTGCCAGTTCTATTTGTCATTCAATTCGGGTTTCCTGAAAGAAAAATACCACCTCTTTTAGACTCGACTGCAGACAGCCATGCTTTTTAAAGAGCCCACATTATGCACATTTACAGGTTTATAATAATATTTTCAGAGTCCACTAGAAAGTCTTTACATGCTGTAATGTTCCAGAAACACATTTTTTCTCATACTGTACATCCTCTGCTCACATTCTGTCTGAAGCGCTCCGTTTTTATGTCTTGTCTCTTTAAGGCCTGCCTCTCAGAAAGCCCAGTCTGCTCCGGTTGGTCATCTGGCTCGACGAAAACAAGCCAATGCTGGACACTCACTGTAAGCCCAGATCCATGAGCACATGGATGCAACCCTAAGAGGAGCAGCTCCAGTCAGGAAATAATGGCGGACTGTGAGGCAGCTGCTCATACTTGCTGCTCACGAGGACAGACGTTATGCAAATGTGTTACTTGGTGATGTAGATAAGTGATGGAAATGAAGGCTGCAACTCAAACAAAGTGTTTTACACAGTTAAGGAGCAGTGTTTGATGGGGAGAATAGCTTTAGACCCTTTAGATTAATCTGACTGTCTATTTTAAAATCAAAAAATCTCATATACAGCAAAATATAAGCAATCATCATACGTGACCATCACCACAGGCCCAACTTATTTGCATTGTAGGATCAAATGATCCTCTAGTCAGCAGATCTGTCAGTCTGAACAATGCAATTCGTACAAACTCTATTAAATTCAAATGTAATTAATGTATCCTAACCAACTAGGGAAAAAAACTGTTTTGTTTGTAGTGAAATGAAGCAAGAGACTTGGTGTTCTTGATCAGTTCTGAGATGCATGCACACATGGCTGCAGTGTGCATGCTACCTATATCTTACTGTTTACATTTGCTGTCTGAGCTAAAAGCCAAAATTTCACAAGCAAATATTTTGATATCTCCTGGTGAGGTCTTTTTTGTTGTCTGCTTGTTTTTTTTAATTGTGAAACCACTGAAAGGTTATCTGTGGCATTGTAAAATGTAAAAAGTCACAAAACTAGACATCTACATAATTCGGCCACAACATTAAAACCACTAACAGGCATGGGCGCCACTATAGCTCACCTTGTTGAACTGGCGTCCCATGTGCAGGGCTACAGTCCCAATGTGGAGGTCATGGGTTTGAATCCCGCTCATGACCCTTTCCCACATGTCCTCCCCCTACTCTTCTCCCCTACTTTCCTGTCTCTCTCTCACTAGCACTATCCAATAAAGGCTGAAAAAATAACTTAAAAAAAATAAAATAAAATTTAAAAAAAGCACTAACAGGCATAAAACACTGATCATGTCGCTACATTGCAACGTTCTACTGGGCGACCTCGGGTCCTGGCAGTCATGGGGTGTCACTTTGACACGTTCTGCCATCTAAACACTGTTCTTATCCTCCATCCTAAGGCTCCTACCCTGCAGCAGCTTCCCCTGGCGGGACACTGAACCCCGATACACCATAAAAGAATTGCTCAGGAACAGCGTGACGAACACAACAAAGAGTTCATGGCCTTTGAATTCCGAACTACAGGCCAATCAAGCGTCCATAGGAGCAAACCTAATCCACCAAGTCCCCGCCCAGCAATCCAAAGGCCAGCATCCATGTGACCTGATGATTCAGAGCTGTTTTGGCAAGACATGAGCAATCTACATAATTTTAATGTTGTGGCTGATCGGGGTAATGCTAGCATTAGAGAGCAAGCTAATGTTAGCATAAGCTACTAATTGTGCCAGACCAAGTAGGGCTATAATGAGATCTAAGTGTCACAGTTCAACCTTAGGTGCATTTTGTTGATTATTAATATGATTCTTTTTTAGTCTAACCAGAAAGCTACTTCTTCATTTGTAAGATTATAACTGATTACAACACAACCCATGTGGTCTCATAAAACCATGATCATAAAAGGAATTGTCGGATCGAGTTCGTTCATTCCCAATTTCTCCAATGCTTCATGAGGTAAGCTGCCACTACAGTGAAGCTGAGTCGGTAAACACGACACTTTAAACCAAGACTTTTTTTAATTCATTCACAGATAGTCCGAAGTCACCACGGCTTTCTACTTAACGTGATGCCAAGTGTATCATATATATAGGGCAGCTGAGGCTCAGGTGGTAGAGCGAGTTGTCCTCCAATCGCAAGGTTGCTGGTGCGACCCCCAGCCCCTTGTCCTTGGGCAAGACACTGAACCCAAAGTTGCTCCCAATGGCAGGCAGCACCTTGCATGGCAGCTCTGTCGCCACTGGTGTGTGAATGGGAGAATGAGAAACACATTGCAAAGCACTTTGGATAAAAGCGCTACATAAGTGCAGACCATTTACCATGTTTGATACATAAGTTTTTAAGACTTCTACATCATCAGTGTGATGCTTGTTTGCCTAAAAAGTCCGATGTATACAATCAGACACATTCAGTGCACACAGAATCCACCACAGATCGCAATTCATGCACCAGAAATGCCGGATGTAGCAAAAATAAAACAAATTAAAACTCATATGAGAACTGCCATTTCATTTAATGTTCTATTTTTTTGTCAGATGGTTTAATAAACACTCCACTCTGGCAATTATTTCACTGCTCAGACTTTAAAGGGTTAACGACATTCTGCCTTAAATAAAATATGTTCTGCTTAGCTAACCAAGGGACAGTTTTTGTTTTTCAGATCGCTGCATACAGATGCATTTTTTTGGAACCATAATTCGAATTTTGAACAAAATAAAGCAAGCCAACCGGCAGCTTTATGAGACAAAAAAAAAACTCTTTCTGCTCTTTTTTCTTTTTCTTGCAGAAACACAGTCTTTCCTTTCTCATGTGTTTTCTAGTTAATCTCCCCTTTTGCCACCGTGTCTCTTTACACTGTTCCCTTTGTTTCTCTCAATGCATTTAGCATCACGTTTTATGCAGGATTTGTATCATTTTCTGTAATCCATATGGAAGAAGAGATTGCAC